CCCGTGCCCCCAAACCCCCCATTTTCGCCCCAAAACGCCCTCACTCCCACACCGCTGCATTTTTAGCCATTTTTATTACGAAAAGAAGCCGTTTTGGTGTCACTTTGTGTTGGTTTTTGTTTTGTTTTGTTTTGTTTTTTTTCCCGGATAAGACACAACCGTGAAGCTTTGCCGAGGGGAAATTGGGGTAAAACCCACCCGTTTTGGGACATTTCATCGTCCCGCCCCCGTCAGGGCGCGAAAACGGGGGAAACCCACCCAGTTTTAACCAAAACGCTTTCATTTCCACCTGAATCGCGCTCGAGGAAGGGAGGAGAGAAACCACCGGGCCGAGGCCGCTTCGTCACCCAGATCCCGGGTTGCTTTTTTGGTGGGTTTTTAAGGATTTTGGTTAATTTGGGGCTATTTTGGTCATTTTGGGGGCTGTTTGGGTCAATTTTGGGGCCATTTCGGTCAATTTTTGGGCCATTTCGGCCAATTTTTGGGCTATTTTGGGGGCCATTTCAGTCATTTTGGGAGCCATTTTGGTCAATTTTGGGGCCATTTTGGGGGCCATTTCAGTCAATTTTTAGGCTATTTTTGCCATTTTGGGGGCCATTTTTGTCATTTTGGGAGCCATTTCGGACACTTTTGGGGCCATTTCGGCCATTTTGGGGGCCATTTCGGTCAATTTTGGGGCTATTTTGGTCAATTTTGGACTATTTCGGTCATTTTGGGGGCCATTTTGGTCATTTTGGGAGCCATTTCGGTCAATTTAGGGGACAATTTTGGGGCCATTTCGGTCAATTTTGGGGCTATTTTGGTCAATTTTGGACTATTTCGGTCATTTTGGGGGCCATTTTGGTCATTTTGGGAGCCATTTCGGTCAATTTAGGGGACAATTTTGGGGCCATTTCGGTCAATTTTGGGGCTATTTTGGTTAATTTTGGACTATTTTGGTCATTTTGGGGGCCATTTTGGGAGCCATTTCGGCCATTTTGGGGCCATTTCGGTCAATTTTTGGGGCTATTTCAGTCAATTTTGGAGATATTTTGGTTAATTTGGGGCTCTTTTGGTCAATTCGGGGCTATTTCAGTTATTTTTGAGGCTATTTTGGTCATTTTTAGGCCATTTTTCTGCTCATGGGGCCGGTTTCAGGGCTGCTGTGCCGCCGTCCCGGGTGGGTCCTCTCTTTTGGGGGGTTCGGGGAGGTGAAATTCGGGGTGCGGTGGCAGGGAGGGGGGGTTCGGAGGTAGGTTTTTTTAAGTTGATTTTTAGAAAAAACAGGCACATTCAGTCAACGAAGCATTTTTCCCGCTGCGCCGGGTGGGAGCAAGGGAAAACCCCAAAATGGAGGGATTTTGCCCCGTTTCGTGCCGGCCGGAGGAGGATGTCGGGGTGTAAGGCCTCGTCTGGGCAGGGGGGGATCGGCCGGGCTGCGGGGAGCATCCTCCAAGGCGGGAGAGAAAAGAAATGATAAAAACGGGGAGGAAAAAAAGGAAATAAAAGTGGAAAAAAAAAGAAATCTCACCCCCAAAAATCAAAACATTAATAAAAAGCCCCAAAACCGTGACCCCCGCTGGCGCAAGGGTCTGAATTTTCCCGAGAAAAGGGGGGGAAAAGTGAGTTTTTTGGCACGCCGCGTTGCCGGGGAGGCGGAGGAGTGGATTTGGGCGCCTCATTTTGGGTGGAAAAGCCGGGAAACGGCGATGGGAAGGGCAGCCCTGTCCCATCCGCGTCCCCTCCGTAGGGACGGGGTCCCTGGGGAGAGGCTGCGGCAAAAATGAATAAAATAAACCCCTCCCCGAGCGATAAGAAAAAAAACCCCCAATCAACCCAAAACCAGGGGGAAAGTTTAAAAAAAAAAAAGGAAAATAAAAGAAAAAAGACCCCAAAAAAGGGAGAAACACATGGAACGAGGGCACCGGGGAGCCCGTCCCGTCGGCGGAGCGGGATCAGGAGTTGTTCTGGTTCTGGTAGATGGAGGCTTTTTCCTTCAGCAGGTCCAGACACAAATGGCAGCTCCAGCTCCCTGCGGAGAGAAAAGACACGTGGGCGGCCTGGTTTTGCCCTCGTTAGGGCTTCGTTAAGGGTCACGGCTTCTTAATTAGAGGTAGAGAATAAGGCAGGGGTGGTTTGCAGGGCTGTTTGTGGGGTTGTGACCCCGCGAGCCTTCCTCCTCCTCGTTAACCTTCAAGCGAAGACGGCCAGGAGAGGGGTTGATAATTAACCGCCGGGCTAATTAACCAGCGGCGAGGCGTCATCGAGATTTTGGGGTCGGGTTTTTTTTTGTTGGGAACGCTGGGGTGTTTGTTTTTTTTTTTTTTTTTTTTGCTTCGACGCCATGAGGAGAAGGCGGGAGGAAGAGGAGGAAGAAGAGCGATCGCTCTCCGCTTTACCGGCCAATACGGAGACATTTTGGGGCACGAGGGATGTCGGCGATGGATTTTGGGGTGGAAAAGGGCTTTTCCGCTTCTCCGGCGGAGCAGAGAAGGAATAATCAGGGAACAGCCGGAATGACGGACCCCGTCATTTTCGATCGCGGCACGCCAGATCCCCAAAAACCACGGGCAGAAGCGGATCCGCACGGCTGAGAAATATCCTGGGCTGAATTCTGCTTGCTTTGACCCATTTCTCCCCCGTTTCCACTCACCTTCGGGCGGCTCCGACATGGGGGGGGTGAGACAGTACATGTGGTAGCCGCGGTCGCAGTCGTCGCAGAAGAGCAGCTGGTCCTAAGCCGAGGGGGGAGGAAAAAAAAAAAAAGAGGGAAAATTGGGATGATTCAACCCGGCCGCGGCTCAAAGACAACGCGGAGGGGACGAGGGTCCTTCTCTGTCCTCCTCCAAGCTCTGTCGGAGCCACCAGAAAGACATCGCCATGTCCTCCCGACTACCGAAAGCACAACCTTTTCCCTCAAAAAAAGATTTTGTCGTGTCCTAGAGGCTATCAAAGCCCAAAGATTTTCCCCAAAAAACCTCTCCCGTGTCCTACAGACTATCAAAGCCCAAAGATTTCCCCCCAAAAAGACTTTCCCGTGTCCTATGGACTATCAAAGCACGAAGATTTCTCCCCAAAAAGACTCCTGTGTTCTATGCACCATTAAAACCTCAAAGATTTCCCCCAAAAAACCTCTCCCGTGTCCTACAGACTATCAAAGCCCAAAGATTTCCCCCCAAAAAGACTCTCTCGT